TTGTCATTGTCAATGCACAAATATATTCTTGCCAAACACTAGCAAAACTGAACTAGAGTGCATATATGCACTAAACCGGCATTTACACTCTTTCCAAATGGAGCCTTATGGATTTACCCATCTAATTGTGGCCTGTTTGTTTTATGGAAAGTTACCTACCTACTTCACTTAATGCCCCGTACCTTTTTGAGAAGTTACTTTTCTTGGTAGGAAATACTTACATGGGCAAGTCATTTATCCATGTTCTTTATTTTCTAATTAAATAAGAAAATGACTATTTTAGTCATAAAAATCTATTTTTAAAAGGGGTAATTTTGTCCAATCCAAGTATTGGCAACTTTCTCCCAAGTGGAAAAATTTTTTATCCATCTAATAGATGGTTCCCCAGGTGGAAAAATTAATTATCCACTTAAGTGATATTTAGGGAAAATAATTCATAGTTCCCACATAAATCTAAAAAAACATGGGTATCTTGGTCAATTCTCTCCCCCCCCAGTCGTCAAAATCCAAAAAGAGAATGAGCCCTAAGTGTTAGTTGAATAAGTGTTCATTTAATTCTTAAATAAATTATAATATTATATAATGTCTATTTTATCCATAAAAGGTTATTAATAAAGTGGGCAAAATTATTCCAATACATCTTGTTAATTTTTTTTCTAATAAGTGAAAGTTATTTACTTGAGTCCAAGTGATTACACTGCACATCTCATAGATGGTGGGTTCCAATTTCATGGTAATATGTGGTGTTAGGTCAAATTGGAAGAGTGTTGGAATGTGTTTTGTTGGTAGGAGATCCTAACTCTATTTATCCACTTGGGAGATTTTTTTTTTTTAATTCCTACATGAATGTGAAAAACAAACGAGAACAAATCAGCCCCCCACAAGATTGGCCCCCGCAACATCCCACAGCACATCCCCACCGTGTATTGAGAACATCTCCCGATGATAATTCAAAAAATGATGGTGTCATCATCGGGAGATGCTCTCAATACACGGCGGAGATGTGCTATGGAACGTTGTGGGGGGCTGATTTGAACCGAAAACAAATATCGGAAAAGTAGTTAATGTGAACCATGATCCCATTGACTGACTTCCTCCCTTTAGAATCTAAAAAAACAAATGGGGATATGAATAAATGCATTTATTTGTGTTCTTTTTTGTTTACGTTAGTTTTTCTTGTTTCCATTTTTTCTGTGTACTTTATTGTTTAATGAATATTTTTGTCTCATTAAATTTGGAAAAGTAGTTATTTATTAGTAGGGGTGAGCATTATTTGGTTAAAACCGAAATACCGAACCGGAAATTTCAGTTTCAGTTTTTGGGTAATTCGGTTCGGTCAGTTCAATTTTTAGGAATTTTGGTTTTCGGTTTCGGTTTTTAAAGTTAGAAATTTGGTTAACCGAAGAAACCGAATTAACTAAAATTCATTATATAATATGTATATATAATATATAATATACAATATATAACATATAATATATAATATGCTATATATTTATATATTATAATGAAATTAAATTTCATAATATATAATATTTTATATATATTAATTAAAATTGGTTTTAAACTGAAATAACTATAAATCAAACCGAAAATTTTGGTTTCGGTTATTTCGGTTTTCTTGTAATCCGGTTTCAATTCGGTTTTCATTTTTTTATTTCAATTTTTAAAATTTTGGTTTATTTGGTTCAGTTTTTAACCAAATAAACCCAATGCTCATCCCTAGGGTAAATTGCTAGAATCTCCCTTGAAATTTGTGACCATGGATGAAATAATGTAAAACCCCTTATTAATTGCAATCTCTTCCCGTAAACCCCGCTATTAGAATTATCAATAGTAGCTGCATGTGAGTCCCACATTTATGGATAAAATAATACAGAACTTTCCTCCACCAATTTCTCCTCCAAACTAATCCGTAAATGAACAAGTGTTACTAAAAAATGGAAATCACTTTAGTGACTTCACTATTATGGTTGGATGAATCTCTCTCTCTCTTTCTCTCTCTCTCCCATTATTCCTATTGGGCTTAGGGATGGCAATTTCTACCTTACTCAGTGGGTACCCTCCTTGTCTTTGCTTGAAAGATGGATTTTGGGATTCTACAACTCATATAAGCACGGGCAAAACTAGGAATTTTTTATGAAGGAGCCAAAACCTAAAGTGGACTTGGGGTGGGGGGGGGGAACCATTGGGGTGGAGAGTGGGTAGGGGTGAGCATTTTTCGGTTAAAACCGAATAACCGAACCTAAAATTTTGGTTTCGGTTTGGCTTTTTCGGTTTTTGATTTAATTGGTTCGTTTTTTTTGGTTTTTGGCTATTTCGGTTTTCAGTTTTTGAAATTAGAATTTTGGTTAACTGAATTAACCAAACTTTTTATTATTATATATAATAATATAATATATAATATGTAACATATAGTATAATATATATAATAGAGTATATATTATTAAAATTCGGTTTTAACCAAAAACCGAACCGAAAATTTCAGTTTCAGTTCAGTTTTATTTTTTTAATTCGGTTTTTAAAATTTTGGTTTATTCAATTCGGTTTTTAACTGAATAAACCGAATGCTCACCCCTAAGAGTGGGGGTAGGGGGGAAATTTACATGGACGAGAGTATTACAAGTGGGAACTTTTGGACCATGGGGGGGGCATGGCTCCCTCGGGTCCCCCTAACTCTGCCCCTACGTATAGGTACAAGTAGGATACAATATTAGGTTAAACCTGACTCTCCCCCAATCTTCATATTTTTAGAAGGTATGTGAACTTTATTTATATGTTAGGTGCTGAATTTAATAATATTTTAAGTTTTATATGAAGAATAATTGATAGTTTGTCTTTTTTACATATCTTAATCAAATACTTGGAAATTTTGTTGTGTTGTTTGCTCATATTATTTTACTTATTTATTGCTTATATATAACAAGAAATAATAAGAAATTAGATGTAAGTTCTAAACCCAACCCACCCTACCCTTGAATGCGGAGAGGGTAGGGTAGGGTAGGCTCGGGATGGGTTTTGCATTTTCATCTGGAAGATTCTCAAAATTCAACCCACTACAGGTTTTGAGAGAAGTGTGGGTTGGGCTGAGCCCATTCTGGAAAGATGCTCATTGAAGGATTAAGTGTTCACACCAAGGGTAAAAAAGCAGTGTTTAGGACATCAGACCGAGGCCACCTTCCTGGAGGACGAGGGTCAGCTTCTTAGAAGAAGAGCAAAGCAGCCCAACCGATAGGGCCTGTAAACTTTATGGAAGTATATAGGAAAATGCTGTCTCTCTATGAGTGGCAAATCATGGGCTAGTCTGAGTTGAAAGCTTCGGAGGATCAAGGCTTCATTTGATACGAGCTACACATTGCTTCCAGAGAGTCAGAGACCAGAGCTCAAAGTCGGTCATGGCTCTAATTGAGGGTCTTCAACATACAACTACTCCAACCATCAGAACAAATCATCCTCATCTACACCAACTATTCGAGGTTCCAATTGCGCTCAGAGCAACTATGGATATATCTATGCTACGATAGTCAGTTCTTCTGTTGGGAAGGCAAAAAATTGATTGCTTTTTTAACCATATCTTCAATGGTTCGCTACAGAAAATCCATCTCTTTCTCTCTCTCTGCAGAGGTGATGTTGGAGAAACAACTTTGGCTGCAGGAGGATAACACCTGGGAGGGAATGAACATCTGAAACACGCTGACCCAATGAAGATGTTGCTTCACCAAGGAAAGGTGCTTTTCCCTCACTCCTCCGATGTATTTGTTATTACATACACAATATTAAATAATTACTCATGTTTTGGATCTGATTATGGACGTATAAAATTTGGGTCTAAGTATATTGCACGCCAAGCACTATAGGACCAATTGATAAGGTGGTGCAATTATGGAAGATCAAGGGGGTGTTCTTCAATGTGAATTGTTTTTCTTTCTGTGAGTTCTAAAGGCAAATCGAAACCATCCGATTTGAAAACAATTTGTTAAAAAACATGTTTTTAGTTGTATTTGTCTTTTATTTCCAAAACTGAAACCAAAAACATGATTTTGAATTGGGTTTGACTGTGAATTTTATGATGCTGGAAATGTGGTAATCGGGTGGGTTCTCATCAAAATTCACCTGAGGGAGTGATTGGTCAAAGCCTTTCTACTATCATATCTCTTAGATTTTTTCTTTGAATTATGCTTTAAGGTACATGTCTTCATGTGATTTAATTTCATGTTCCATATATCATATAAATATCCGTACAACAACGATACAATTCAAAAATGTGTTTTTGGAAAATAAAACATGATTATTTTGGGAACCAAACCAACTTGTTTTTTGCTTCTCAAAACAAGAATACAGTCGAGAAATGTGTTTTTATTTTCTTGCCGACAGCAATTTCAAAAACGAATGAAAACAAAATTTATTCATGTTATATAACACGAACACCCCAAGTATTTTCTCCGTAATGATTCTATTTTTCGAAAACATAGTGAGACGCATAGGACCTCTCTGGTCTGTTCTGTTTGAGCATTTAACTAATATTCAATGCTTGTAGTCTTGTGGGTAATTGCACGAGGTTCATTTGGTTGTATTCACCCACCACTTTTTGACCTGAAATTCATAGTTTTTTTGTTACATTTTATGATATGATGAAGATGGGTTTGAAAATTTAATTTGGGTATTTCGTCGTGATTATTAATTAATGCCACGAATTCTGAAAAAATGAGTTTACCAAAAGAAGAGTGGAGCAGCAGAGCATGAAGTTGAAGATCGTCCCATGGATGATCAGGAAGAAAATACTTATAATTTCATAAATCCATTGTGACATGACTATGATGTTTGCTTAATTGTGACATGACTTGTGATGCTTGCTCAATTTCACAAATCAATTGTAACATGATTATGATACTTGCTCAATTTCTATACACACACATATGATTAGACTATGAAGATCATATCCTAATTCAGTGGTTGTAAATACAACAATTCGTGGGAAAATTAAAAATAGAAGAGAACAGTGAACTAAGTATGGGTTTGAATTATATCCTCAGTTTCTGCCCAATCTGAACATCAATGTTGGAAAGAGCCACAAAAGGTCCTCAGATGTAGGCTTTTCTTGTATGTACATTATATATTCATGCGCAGAAGAAAAAGGGAACAATATTTAAATTACATCCGGAATTTGAATATATGTAACCCAATATTACCATAGATTACTCAATTTCCTTGAACTACTGAAATCCAGTATCTGTTTTCTATTCCCAGGTTCCCTGCTTCTTATACTCAGTTTGAGTTAAAAGACCAAGTCAATTTTACTAGAACAGGAGCAAGGAATTCGGAAGGAGACTTAGCATTGCAGAAGAAAAATACAACAAAATCTTTAGCTTGAAGGTCTAAACTGCATACATCCTCTTGTATTCATTGTTCAACAGTTCAGACTCTGATGGTACCATAGATATTGAGAATGAACGGAACTGGCTTTCAGATGTTCTCCTTATATTCCTCATACTTGACTCCTCCATCCTATGCAAGATGACACAGTAGCACATGGAACCAATGGTAGTCAGCATGATCAAGCTACCAATCACTGTGGCATACACAGCAAGCCATTGGGCATGCTGGCCCACTACGATATAAGTGAGAGAAATGAAGGCAACTGATATGAAGAGGCAGGCTACCCACATGATTTTATTGATCACAAACATCAGTTGTTTCTTTGCCTTCTCCTCAATCACAACCAGAGATGTCTGGGCCACGACAACAGCCAAGGAGATGAAGAGGGCCAGAGAGTCAAAAACAATGAAGACGAGGAATGCTGGTTTATCTGCAATATTTGCTTGCCCAATTGTTTTGCCTTCTGTCTTAACCTCGACATACTGGCCAGGTACAGTGAAGATGGCTGCAAAAGCAACAGTTGCAATAAGGACTGCAACAAATGTAGCTGAGTTTATGGCATTATTAAGGCCACTGATATTAAGCTTCTTTATCCTCTTTGCAATCTTCTGTACTCGAACTCCAGTCTGGTGGGATTGCTGCAGTTGGGACTGAACATCATGTTTTATGTCACTCACTGTCTGCTTTAGTTGCTTTGCTGCATTTGGAGGGTTCACATGGTCCTTAATGGCAGTTGCCCCTGCTTCTTTTAGAATAGAAGCAATCTCTGCATATCCAGATTTTTCTGCAATATCAAGTACACTTTCTCCAGCCTTATTAAGTGCATTAACATTAATTCCATCAACTGATAATAGACAGTGAACCATCTGCACCAATATAAGCTAGTTTCAGTACAGATAATTGAAGTGCATATGGAGTTAGGAAATCACAGGAAGAGTCAGATGTAGCTTGATACAGAATTGGTTACACTTAGATGACATAACAATCTTGTATTGGTCAAAGTGTTGAACCAGCACAAAATCCACCAAAAAAGATCATGATTTCAATGCTCTTTTAAGCTGCTTTAGTAGTTAATAGATTAATAGTTTAACACTACCCATATCCAACCAATATTCTAGCTTTTCTTAATTTAGATGTCCAATTCTAGTGAAACAAGCTTCTTTAATATATTTCTTGTTGAACCTTGTTAACCTCATGCCATCCAAGAATCATCCAAACAATTTTTTGATAAGTTTGTAACTGTGTCATAAATGTTTAGCCTTTTAGTATATTTATATTTAATTTTTTGTTAAGTTTATAAAAAAATATAAATACTTACGATTTATGATATGATTCACAATTCAATTCAATTCAGCTTTTTCTATTATTTACAATACAATTACGATTTTCAGAATATTGATGTGGAGGTTTGTAATGTGCATATTATGGGGTGCAGAAAATTTTAAGTTCTGATGATTGTCCTGAAAAATGAAAGGGTCATTAAAATATCAAATAAAGTATTTTTCAAAAACCTAGGTTACAATAAGTACAATGTCAAGAAGTGGAACCCACCTGAAGGCGGCCCTTCCTTGTTGCTGTATGTAATGCTGTGTTTCCCTTGTTATCTTCCAAACTAATAACAGAGGAATCATGTTTTATCAACTCGACCAAAATGTCAACATTTTGCCCCTTCACTGCCATGTGTAATGCAGTTTGCCCCTTCCTATCAGTCCTAAAACCAGTACTTGGGTCCTTGCTTATTAGGGACTCCACCACTTTCAAGTGCCCCTTTCTTGCTGCAGAGTGCAGGGAAGTCTTACCATTGCTTTTAGCTATCTTTGCAAGGTTTGAATCACTTTCAAGTAGGAGATTGACAACATCAATGTGACCTTGATTGGCTGCTGAGTGCAAAGCTGTAGTATTGGCTGCATCTGTTGTCATGGCTAAGTTGGGAAACGAATTCAAAAGTTCTTTCAAAACCTCTGCAAATGCATTAAAATGAAACAGGAGTTATTTTTCATTTTGATCAACAGATGAGTTTTCACATTTAGTTCATCTTGTAGCACATAGAGATGCTAAACCATATTTCATCTTTTTTTCCCCACAATGGGATTAGTCAAGTTCACTGGATAGATCGCTGAGATAACTGGGTTGACATGATGCAGCAAAAATAAAAGAAAGAAAATCACTGATTGAATGAAACTAAAGACTGTTAAAGTTGAAAATATCTAATACACAATATTTATAGGGAAAAACTTTGGCTGTTGGGGGCCAACAGCCTATGCTGTTGAGAGCGTTTCTGGGAATGCCACGTTACCATTAGAGTTGGAATGATCAATATTTGAAGGCAAAAGATTGGGCCTGGGGCTCAAGACCCATAAAATGGTCTAGACCCCAAACCTGACAAATTTCCCCTATCAGCTGTTTGGACCTGCTAATGAATGGATCCATCATGGAGATAACTTGGAAAAATTTGGCTTGAAGCATGACCACATGTCAGTTTGTACTGTAAACCATGAACTATTTAATAGTTTGTACTTTCTACAGAATACAGATGTGTCCAGAAGCCCTTTTTTCTTCTTGTCAAGTTAGACTCCTGGACATGCATCCTGTTCTAATTCCCATGTTTGAGACCATGCAACACTGCTGCAATATTTGAACCTTGATAGGATAGAATGGTGAAACAAGGTTTGTTGAGTTGAACTGAGTGCATTTGAACAGTGGAAATTATGATCACTTTAGAAAGCTCCAAATACAAATGCACGAAATATATCAGTCGATCTCATCTATTATTTTGGTATTTCATGTAGGCACTCTCTTATGTGAGTCTTGTGATTGTCTTTGATCCTGTGATATGCAACACCTGGAAAGTTAAATGGGTGCCAGACAGCAACTATATGTCCTATTGATCCAAAAGCCATGGCACTCTCACATAGTCACATTTGAATGGACGAGTGCTCAATAGAACCCAAAAATGAAGTATGCTGCATGTAACAGTATGCTTTTGACAGACTGTCGGTATGGTTCACCATTTTGCCTGATGGGTACCCTGTGTTTCCTTAAGAAAAGCTTTATAGAATCTGGTCCTTTGTCCCCCTCTGTTCTTTTGATCAGTTGTTGCAGATCCATAACCAATTAAGACATTTTTAAGTGTGAACTCTCAATAACCTATAAAGGAACAAGCCATTAAAATGAAGTTAGACCACTATTAAATAACAAACTCAATAGGTTAAGAAAATATAGATATTAAGTATGAGGCCCCTGGTACAAGGGTTACTTTATTGGTGTCAAGCCACGTTAACTGGATACAATAAAAACGGGATTGGACAGGGTAGTCAGATACAGAATTTAGGCTAAAATTTCAAGTGTCCAACACAAGAAATCACCCATTTTGGAGTATTCAGGCCCATTGATCTCAAGCTAGTGTAACATGTACATGTATTGAATATATTCCAACTCAACAACTGAAAGGCTCCCTCACATAAATGGCTCTTGTTCAGCTAATTTCCTAAGATAATTCTAGTGTTTATGTAGTAAGTTAAAGCATTAGACATTAAAAAACAGCTATTACCTAATACTGATCCCGTCTATCTGGGGTCTTTCAATCTTTGGATTGGAAGGGTTAACTGGATACAAACCTAATCTCCTGCATATTTAGAATGAAGTGGCACTTCAAAACTCACATCCTGACATTTTGCCATCACACCAAGCAGTAGCTTCCAACTAAAAGCATTACTCATGCAACACATAGAAAAGGATCCATTTGCCAAGTGTAACAAAGTCCTAGTCAATAATCCTTTAGTATTGCAAGTATAAAGAGGTAAATTTCTGTGTTCCCTAAAAATGGTCAACAAAAAGAATGTACATAAATGAGCTCTACAAACACTTAAGATTCAACACTGAAAGGTAGATCACAAAAATAAATATGGAGAAGCATGTAAAGTCTAAATTAGTCCATCAAAACTTGTGAAACGACAACTTATTCTTTTATTCCATAGTTGTTAATTAAAAACTAGCAGTAGTTCGTTGGGTAAAGGTCTTTCAAATAGAATTAGACCTAGTTAAAGAGAAATTCAAGAAGTATAACTAAGAAAATGGGAACCTCTGCCAACACCCAGGTAGTTCTCAAAAAGATGTGAACACCAACGTGCTCTATAGCAGGATATTTAATCATTTGATGTGAGGGCAATCTTGTTTGCAGGATTCATCAGCACTTGAGCTATAACTTAAGAGAAAGCTGTTCTATTTGACCACATCTTCTTACATCATTTGATAAAAAAGAAATAAAATTAGAACATGTGCTCATGGACTTCATTTAGTTCTAGTTGTTGGTTAAAAGCCGAAACCAAACCCATACCACCACATCAGGCATGCCAAACTCATCTAAGGGAATGGTTCTGATGACTACTCAGAAATGAGGTTTCTTTTGACTCTAGTCTGAGTTTGAGGCCTTGATTACTTTTTCTGTGAGAATGTTTAACGTGAAGATCCAACTCCAAAATGAAATAAGTAGAGGGAAAAAGCTGAGGCCACAATGGAGAAAGGGCTGGAGTCAAGCAAAAGGCACTAGTTCAAATTAAGAAGGGAAAAAGGAAATGTATTAGCATCATAGAGGAGATCTGTTTCTATTATGAGTATGGCCTATGGTTTGGTCATGGTGATCAAGAGGACAAGTGTGTCCCTATATTCTTTAAATGGGAAATGTATGGCTGTTAAAACTTGGAAAATAATTCAGAGATGGAATAAAAAGAACAAAACGAAAGACTAAAAGCTTCCGCAGCTTTTCATAATGTTCCACTAGAAGGTTTCTAGTGTTCCTGGGATCTAAAGCTAATCCTGTTTCAGTTCACAGAACACTAAAAACATTGTAGTGGAACATTACCATACGCTGCCTTGGTAAACCAAGCAAAACCAGATTCTTCATGCAGTGACATCAATGATCCTCTTGAACCTCCAAACTGCAAGCAATGGCATAAAAGTCCTTTATAACTATAGACAACATGAGTTTCATCATCGAAACCCCATATCGTGGCACCAAATTCATGGAAAAAAAGCCCACTTAAACATTTCTGGCTCATGTACTAATCTCAGACTCTCAGAGCTCCACAACAAAGAGTTAATCAAAATAGTAAAATATAAGTATGTAACATAAGAATTAAATAGTAAAACAGAAACTACAGTCCGATCTAACACATTTCTTCAACTCAATTAAAACTTAGAAACCATACAGCTGCACCAAATTTGGGCAGGGAAACAAGAGGAGACTAAACCCGAAAAACAAATGAACTTTCTCCAATGAAAAGAGAGAAGAAATCAAACATAAAATAAGAATAGAAACAACAGATCGAATCCTTACCCACATGGCCCTGCTTGGCTGCAACATGGAATGAGTCAAGACAGTTGTTAGCCTGGAGAGACGCAGTTTCAAGGTCCAGATGCTTCAAGAGCTCAGTAACAACTTGGACGTGACCATTCTCAGCCGCAGCATACAGGGCAGTTTCCCCATTCAGGTTCTTCTTTGACAGCAAATCCTTCAGATTAACACTGTCGCATTCTTGTAGAATATCTCTAACCCTGGCTAAATTCCCTACTCGAGCAGCTAGATGAAATGGGGAATCTCCCCTTTTTCCCGGAGACTCTTTGCTCTTCCTCAGATCGTTAAAGCTTTGCTGCTTCTCCATTGCTATGCGAAAGCTCTTCTGTTTTTCCATCACCCCTCGGAAGCTAAGCTGTTTCTCAACCACACCACGGAAGCTCTTCTGTTTCTCCATGATTACCCGAAAGCTCTTCTGCTTCTCCATGGTCAACACCCACACTCAAGTCTTAGCAACAACAGAATTCAGCCAAATTCTCTGTACTGAAACCCAAATTTATCCTATTGATCCTTCAGAGATCAAAAGATTCAAAACCCATCGTATTAATCCATACCCTCGTTTCAACAGATTTAGAGTTCAAAACTCATCCTTCTGTCATACCCAGAAGCTTAAACTACAGAACCTATGTTTCCATGGCAACCAAAAGGTCGGAACGGAAGAAATCCGCGTCGATTCTCTCTATCCAGAAGCACAATAAATTCTTTAACATCCATTGAAAAACTCAAAATCTATAAACAGTGGAAAATAATACCCTTAATTTGTTATTTTTTAAAGGTTATTGTCTTAAACGAGTTAACGAAAAAACAAACAATTTTTTGTTTCTTTCATTAAGTTTCTTTGATTCCTTTTATCTTTTCAAAAGAAGATGAAAGCAGCGGCGGCCATTACAATCAAGGAGAGCGAGCAAGCACACGCACTTGGTGGGGCTCACCCATAGACTATTGGAAAATACCCAAACACCATACTCCAACCCTCCAAGGCAAGCAAGTCGAGCAGACGAGAGAGACAGTTGCCCAATCCCATACACAATTTTTTTTTTTTTTTGAAAACCTGCCCTGATAATCAACCGCCGTTGAATTTTCTCATATATTTGCAAGTAGATTCCTTCTGTTAAAATCCTAAAATGTTTAAAATACCCATACACTTAGTATTGACACCAGTTACTACACTAAAAACAATACAAACTTTACGTTCACCTTGGATTTGGAAAGAGTACAGTGCAAAACCTTGTATTCCAAACTCAGCCTTACGAACAATAACAAAACAGAAAACAGAGTTTAAAGTTATACTTTCAACTTTTAACGATTGATATGAAAAGTAAATTTGGAAAATTAGAAGGGTTTGTGAAGTGATTAAATTTGGGAAAGAACCATTTTGATAAAAAAAGCAATGCATGGGTATTTTTGATATTTTTGTGCTTCTTGTTAGATGATGATAACGGAAGTAGAGATGCAAATGGACCTGATCGAATTTGAATTAAGGTATATCTGAATCTGATTTGACAGACACTATTAATTATAGATCCGATCTGATTCGAAGATCCGATCAGGTCTCATAAACATGGATTTGAATTCAAATCCGATGAGATAGTGGGATCTTTGGATATGATCTGATCCCATTTGATTTTTTTAAAAAAATTAATAAATTATTAAAAGAAAAAATACAGTATAACAATTTGAAAATAAATAATACAATAAATTTACAAAAATGCAATAGAAATAATAAATTTATAAATAAATAAATAACATATGTGTGTGTTATATTTATATAAATAATTAAATAACGTATATATCGAATAGGTGGTGACATGAATTCGATATGATTTCTGATTGGATCCTATTATCGGATCTGAAAATTTAAAATGGGGTTAGAAAGAGCAAATGTGATTTTTTTGAGAGACACTGAAGACCCATGTGGATTATTATTTTGATTATGTTTTTAATAATTTAATTATTTAAAAATAACTAATCACATGTGTGAGAGTGAGAAATGAGAGGATGAGGAGTTCTATGCAAGCTCAGTGGTGAGTGGGGAGAGGAACCCTCATCTCCTCTCTTTCCTCCTTCTAATATAGATAAAGATTAGAGCTTCAATTCAGATACATCATTAATAAAATAAATAAAAATCCATGAGACCTGAACTTATGAGATTGGGGTCAGGTTTGTTTTGAAACAAAAACCTCCTATACTTTTTATTGCCGTTGATCATTAATAGTAAAAGTGAAATGACCAAATTGCGCATTCAAGATTCTAAGATAACTATCTTTCCAAATAAGATAACAAACTATTTATGATAAATTCAACTATGAATCAATTGCTTGTTCGAGGCGTTGAAGATATGAGCTGCTTGCTTAATAATACTTCCATAGAAATGTTTTGATTGCCACTGGTCTTTGTTGAGAGAAACATGGTTTTAAAATAATTAAGTTAAAAGGTCAAAATGGTCTTATAAATAACATGAGGGCAATTTGGAGTTTCACAAAATGTATAAACCCACACATGACAATGTCATGGCAATATTCCAAATAGTTAATTGTCAAAATGATAACAAATGGGGGGTAATGATGGAATTGAAAAATATAAGGGGGTCTTTGTTGCAAAACAAAGTTTAGGGGAGGGGCAAGTGTCACGACCCTTAAGTACAAGATGACCATCTAAAATTTATCTAATATAATACTTAAACCAATTTATAGATTCCTCTACCTCATAAATTTTAATAGGTTTAAATTTAAATAGTGGGAACAGTGTATCATAATACAAAGTACAAAGGGGATATGTAGCATAGGTAGTGATTTGAGACAATACATTCTAAAAATTAATAAAAATTTGTGAGGGGGAGTCGATCATAAATTTCCCTAAAATTATTAATTTTTTTTATGAATATATGCATGTGCATATTGTAAAAACATTACTATACATTGTTGGACTCATATTGGGATGGATCCAAATCCAACACAATTATAAATATACCTAGGGTTTTATTTTATTTTATGTCAATCCATGCTAGTTCAATCAAACTGAATCTTGAACTTAGAATTGGGATAAAACCAATATCGTTGGATAACCCAAATTGTGGGTGCTCAATTTTTTCCTTGCCATGAGAGAAACTCAGAAAAGTAATCACGTGGAGGGAAGAGAAATGCACTTATGTTTGGAGGGTATCTCATTACATATATATATATATATATATATATCTCTTGTGTATGGGTATTTATACATTGTAAAGGGAATTAGTGGATGCAACACAAACAAGAGCTGCAGATGGGGTTCCCAAAAGAGTTAAGGCTCCATTGGGGAAGAGTGCATGCGCAAATGCCAGTTCAGTACATATATGTACTTTGGCTTAGTTTTGCTAGTATTTCACAAGAATGCATTCTAGTATTTGACCAGAATGCACTCTATGAATTTGTATGCATTCTTTGCATCCTTCCAAAAAGGAGCCTACAGAAAAAAAAAGTCGAAATCTACTTCCCATAGGCATGCTCCTAAGTCCTAACATTGTTCCAACACACCCTCTTGTCGCTAAGGGAGGATTTGAGCCAAATATCTAGTTATTCAAGCTCAACTTGCCAATAAACTATGAGGCCCAAGCTTGATTCGAGCTAAGACTTGAGCTTGAATACGGCTCAAGTCAAAAGCTTATAAGTTCGAATTTGGCTCATCTTGAACTCAATTGTGAGACAAACATTTTATAAAAATAAAAAATTATTTTTTTATTTGACATAAAAGATTAAGAATTATAAAAACTAATTATATGTATATATAATAGAAGGGTTCGACTATGATATGGAAAATGCATGATATCTGAAAAACTTCTGACCAATCAATTGGAATCAGAAATGTGGTAGCTAATCAGGTGTTATTTATCAAAATTCATGGGTGGGTTTTGATTGGTCAAAACTCTTTCCATACCATATCTTTTTTGCCTCATAGATTTTCCCATAATAAAATATTATATATAATAGTTTTCTTTTATTTTTTTGGTAAAATTTTTATTTTTTATTCGTATATATTTTTATATGCATAATATTTTTATATTTTTTATTGTTTATATCTATAATTTTTAAGTATGTATGTAAAAGCTCGATTAGGCTTATGACCCTTACGAGCTCAAACTTTATTGGCTCGATTAGCAAACGAGCCTATATATTGGGCTCAAGCCCAATTTAGACTGAGCTGAATTGAGCTTTTCATGAGCCAAGCTCGAATAGCTCATGCCTACTTGTTTCCACTTGTTCAATTGCACACTACAAAAAGTCACATGTGTGAAATCAATGTTTTAAATTCTAACCCAAAACCAGAACCTCTTTGGCCACCGCTTTTTTGGGTTAGTGGTTTGACCACCCGATCCGAATGGATGACTCATTGTAATTTAAAAAAAAATTAAAAATAATTAGAACAAAAAGGCCAAAAATTGTTGTCTAGGTCGAACAAGTTGACAGTTCGACTGCTCGAGTTAGTGGGTCATTGACCAAGTCAATGATTTTTTGTAAAAGACTAGGTCAAGGGTGAAATAGAACTAGTTGTTTGAATGGTTTATGTGCTAAAGGGTCCAACCATTTGGGTCAATAACTGTTCAAAAACCATGTGTAAAACTAATGGGAGGGGTTATTGTTCATCTTTAAGCTCTTGATCAAGAACCAAGTAGTGATTTTCTTCTTCTAAATGCATGATTTTGAAGTTGGAGTGATCAAGTCCACAGGTTGGTTATCATTGGCATTAAGGGAATCGATATGAATGGAAAAATCAAGCAAAACTTTAACAATCTTGACGATCTCCTACATCATTTTTAGTAAAAGTGGGCAGCCTAGCTCATCAAGCACCATGTCTAACAGACAAAAAGGGCAGATGTTGTATGCCTTAATCAGCTTTGTTGCCCAATTGTAGAATCAAATATTCCAAATTACAAATGGTGAGTGATGATGCGCGATTTGACAGCTCCCTGCTGGAGGGCACCTTGAATGCCGAGCTTGCTAGTTGGTCTGGTTGACTTGCAAAAAGACGGTGTTAGAGTGGCCAAGTTGATTTACCTAGGTGGGCATTCCGATGATTAAGTCAACGAGTTGGAAATTTTGGAGAGAGCTAAAGAGCGAAAGAGCTAGAATGTTTGAGAGCTGAATTGTGTGTACCTTCTATGAGGGAAGGGATGCCATTATATAGGCATAAGAAATCGGGGCTTCTTGTAACGTGTTTGAGATTCCCAGGAAATCATGCTCGCCATGTTCGGAGGTCTCTTATCTGGATACATGATCCACACAGAGGGATAAGGCCTGTTCGATCAACTTTCATGCAGACCATGCGGATAGACGTGTCTAATGGTTGAGCATCGTGATCCCAAAGAAGTCGGAGACAGTAACTCACTTGGAGGGGAGATCTGACAGGACACAAGCTGAGCTTGGATTAGGTCAATAGAAATGGATCGCTTCACATGCTGACTTGTCATCCTGTTGAGTTGGTTCTTAGTTCAGTTGCCGAGATGGATCCTAGGTCACCAGGTGGGTTCAAGGTGTCGAGGGCGCTTTTGTGTGGTGCTAAGTCATCGCTTGACTGTATTGAGGTGCCACGTGTCTTCATATCATTGGAGAGCCAAATCACCCCTCATCAATTGCTCCCCACTCCCGAGCCAATGGTGGTCCAGCGAAGGGAGTAGCTTACAATCACTCTTTAGCCCGTGGTGACTCATTCGGCTGGTTCACAAATTGCCTAGCCTGTTTGCCTAAGTCGGCTCAAGGGTGGGCTAGTGTGCGGTAAGATTCAAATTTCAAACTCTAGGTTGGCATGTAAGTTGAGTGCACGAAATTTAA